TGGCATTGGAAAAATAAGAAAAAATTATCAGTACATTATTTCTTAATTAATCTAAAACCAAGTATTAGAAACTTGTAACCTTTATACGGAAACAAATGCGATAAGCTGATGACGTATCAAAATATATATCAGTATATTATAATAATATGCACACTGAAATATATCAAAAAATCCATCATGTTCGTAGATAGGAAATTGTATAGATTGCTCGGGTTTGGAAGAATCACTAGCTGATATGTTAGCTATATCTAGAATCACATACTAAAATGAATATTTACCATGTGCATTCATGTCTATTATTTTGTAATTAAAATCACTGCAACGTACCAAAATTGTTTTCAGCAGGACAAACGAACAGTAAGAAGTTATCCTTGGTTTGTCTTGGCCTTAGCTCAAACGCTCTCCATTTATCACCTCAAAGACACCTAGACCGAGACCCACCTATTTCAGCCAAAGGAAAATGATGATTTTATGAACCAGGTACCAACAAAGCCTCAAAATGTTTGGGCGTCAAGCGAATAAAGTTATATATATAACAATGTAAAACGAAAGTATTGTAAATTGCCACTGCATTTCTTTTGGAAAAATGACAGACATTTTAATTCACTCACCTCTTTTTCCGCCAACGATCAGTCTATGGTGTTAAATCAAATCAGTAAACATGTATAGTCTTTGCCATTGCAATGTAATGATTCACTGTTCATAAGTGGTCCTCGATATTATACATGTATGTATTCCGTCTCTCTGTCTATTTTTAGTCACTGGAAATTTCCACCAACCTTTGACAGTCAACCAAATTAAGATCGTCCAATGAAACCTTGATCTCAGTTTGCTAAGCGTCTGTGGAGCAAATGTATGCCCTGCACCCCACCCCCACCCCACACAGTACACACACACACACACAGTTCAAATTCCTCAGTGTGTGGTGGTAGTGGCCGGGCTGGGAATTGGAAACTCAACCCTTGGATTGAGAGTCAAGTGAATGAACCACTCTAGTACCAGGGGCGGATCTAGCTTTTTGCTAAGGGGGGGGGGTTGACCAAAATAATGACGATGCAGAGCATCGTCCACGAGCCGCGAAGCGGCGAGCCGATTTTTTTTTGGGTGTTTATTTGAACCCCGTAAGTGATGTTTTCCTGGCATCTATTAACACAATGGAGACCATAAAAAGCAGTGCATGATAACGTCTTTTTAAATCAAGTAACAGTTAAATACACAGTTATATCCAGAGTTATCATGTGTTTGGTTAAGTTACCAGATGAGTTGAAAATCTTCTCACAATATTTGCACTTGAAAGGGTTTCTCTCCAGCGTGCGTTCTTTTTTCTTTCTTTTTTTTTTCACTTCGGCGGTGGCCCGTGTCCTCAAAAAAGCTGATGGGGGGGGGGGGGGGGCAAGGGACTCTGTGACATTTGTTCGCCCAACCCCCCCCCTCCCCCCAAAAAGAAATAATAATAATAATAATAATAATAATAATAATAATATAATAATAATAATAATAATAATAATAATAATAATAATAATAATAATAATAAATGAAATAAATACATAGAAATAGAATAAAATAAAATTACAAGTTTAAAAAAAGAGATAAGATTTAAAAAAATGGTCCCCGGATTTTTTTTTGGGGGGGTTGCAACCCCCCCAAACCCCCCTCTAGATCCGCTTCTGAGTACACTTCCACTACTACCACACCTATGCTAATCACGAAAGCTGAAATGTTTACCATGAGCACCAAGTGTATTCATATATACATAACATGTAATAATAATAGTTCGATCATTGCACAGTTATTATTCTAATCACATTAACTTAGTTATACGTATGATCATGAACGATGTGAACAGTACTAGTTTTCTAAAGCGACAACAGTTACCTCCGGGTTCACGATCGAGTACTCTTATAATTATGTAGTCTCTTTTTAAAGCTCTAGCTGTTTCGTTTTGTTTTGTTTTTGCAGCCTTTTACTAACGTTACCGATCTAAAAACCTGTTATTCTCATCTTGGTTTTTACCTCTATCGCTCTTTATTTATCACCTCAAATACATATAAACCTATAACCAACTATTTCAGTCTTAGGAAAACTATTATTGTATAAACCAGATACAAACTGTGCCACACAATTGTCTGGAAGTCAGCCTATTTATATATTTATATGACAATGTAAAACTAATAACTAACTATTTCAGTCTAAGGATATTCCGAAAGTCTGAGTGAAAACAGACCATTATTAATGATAAAAAATTGGGGAAACAGATCTGATCGATTCTTTAATTCTCCCAAATATATTTATTACAATTAAATTACATTTTAGGAGAATGTAAATCGTCACAAAGGAATGTATTGGCTCTATAATCATTCCAGACATTTAAGTGTTGAAAGATTTTTAAAAGCCAGTCTTATGTCTTACTTTTATGGAAAAACGGTTGTGAAAATCCATAAATGTCCACAGTGACACCTTCAAAGGAAACCATAAATATCTTTGTGGTTGGAGAATTTTTTCAGGTTTTTTTGCAAGTTAGAGTGTTACTACGGTAAAATTAATATTATAAAAAAAGTAACATTCCATACGAAAATTACGCAATTTTTTCGTCAACAATTTTTAAATACCGAGACACTTTAAACAGCTACCACCCAAAAAAAAACTGAGTGCAAGTGTCCGAAAATAAACATAAATTTTCGTCGGCGATGGTAGAGGGGTGTAGTATAATATCAGTGGCGGATAAAGGGGGTGTACAGGGGGCACGTGCCCCCCCCCCCCCGTAAAAAAAGGGGGAGGTGAAAGAAAAAGGGAGAAAAGGAGAAAAGGGAGGGTGAAAGAAAAGGAGGGGAAAAAGAAAGAAAAGGGAAGAGAGAAAGAAGACGAAAAGAGAAAGGAGAGAAAAGGGGAGAGGAGAAAAGGGAGGGGGAAAAGGAAGAAAGGGGAAGATAGAGGAGAGAAAAGGGGAGAAAGGCGAAGGAGAGAAAGGGGAAAAAGAAGAATGATGAGAAGGGAAACGAAAGAAAAGGCGATGATATTATAAGAAGGTGTTCTTTTTTTAACGGGAAAGGGGCGGGCGCTATTTTGCAGTGTGCATAATATGGGGTCCCTCTTGCCAGGCTTTTAGCCCCCCCCCCCCCCAAAAAAAAAAAAAATGAAAGAGAATTAAACAACGAAAGAAGAGAGATGCGAGAGGGGGGTAGTGGGGGTGCGACACCCCTCCCCTCACCTGTCAGGATATTGTCGGTAATATTGCGCTGCTGTCAGGAAAAAGTGAGAAAAGGGGGAGGGGAAAATGAGAGGGAAAGGGAAAAGCCTTATTGCCTTCTTTTGCAATACTTTAAACTTATCAAGATATGTTTCTCCAAGCAACATTACACAATGGCGGATCCAGGAATTTCTTACAGGCCGGGGGGGGGGCATAAAACCGCATGGGGTGTAATATATGAAAAACGATGGAGCGAAACGAGAGATCGAGACGTCAGCGGCGAGGGAGCGGAGCGACCTAGCGGGGGTGGGTCTGGGATATAGGGAAAGAACGCCCTCTTAGAGTCAAGCATTTGCAATTTTAGAACCACCTTCAGCGCATTTGTATAGAGGCACTTCCTGGAGTAATATGACGTAAATTTGATTTTTCCTACCCCCTCCAAGAGTAGGGATCTTTTGCAATGTGAGAACCACATTGGCTTATTATTATGTCTGCCGCAAATTCCTAGAAAAAAAACGAAGCAGTCTGATTGGTTAGAAGTTAGAGAAAAGTGATTTGTCACTTCGCGAGACGTTGTATATGCTTCGTTGCTGCACAATATGCACAAGGACGGTGGTAGCTGGTACTTCACCATACTTGCAAAAATTATCTCGATAAACTGTTTTGTTATCAGGGGCGTCGCTAGACATTTTACATGCATATGGGGGGGGGGGGTGTAGAGGCCACCGATTACCGACAAAACTAGCCACCAATAACCGACAAATATATTAATGCCAATGTTCCAATGTCTCCAATAACCCGGGGCCAGGAATCCAGTTATTTTTCAGTTCCCCCTCCTGCGCAATCGAAGCGCAGAAGCTATGACGTATCATTAAATTATTAGAGAAGAAGACGATTCGTTGTATCGTGTCCTTGTCTGCATATATCCCCCCCCCCCCTTCCGCCCGAAGCGCGAAAGCTTTCATGTTTAATTTAATTATTAGAGAAAGAAGACAATTCGTTGTACCGTTCTAGAATTTAGTTGCCCCACTCCCTCCCGCGCAAAGCGCGGAAACTTTGACGTTTCATTCAATTATTAGAGGGCGTATACGTACCGTACGTAGCCTACTTGGAAAGTAGTTTTGTTAAAGGTATTACAAAGTTTTGGTAAATTTTGAAAAATGGGTGGATAATGATTCTTTAAAATTTTGATATATTTGGATGCCCCTGTGGATGTATTTAATGCACTAGAAATTTTAGTCCCTAAAACACTTTTGCTTTCGAGAAAAATTGAATATAAACATTTACCTGTGCTCCCGGTAAATTTTGTTAAATTTCAAATAGCTCCTACGGCCGTACAATGGTAGCTGCGACTATGGAAATCTCAGAATATGTAGTTGTGATATATAATTTCAAAACGGGAATATCTAATCGGTCGTTTAGTCAAGATACATTGTTTTATAGCTTAATTAATATCTTGACCTTGAGAGGGAGCTATACAACATAAAGTGTTTATTATTTACAATTTCATAAATGTAGAGTCGATTTCGACCTCGACAACGATCACTGAATATTGTAGGATCGCATATGCTTCCTATATGTTCATTTGAACCGAATTCATGACCCCATACCAAAACTTTGTATTACCTTTAAACTAATTATGTACGTACCTACCCTCTAAAGCGAACTACATGTAGATCTAGTTCTATACTATAGTTCGCATGCACACACACACCGACCGGTTGAGGGTTCTACTGCATACAGTTCTATCTCGCGCTTGACAATCATCTTCCAATTATTGCAATTAGTGCAAGCGGATGGTTTAGCTGATGAGATGAAGACAATTCTCATAACTGGAGCTAGTAGGGGTATTGGTTTGGAGTTTGTACGCCAGCTGGCCAGGCGTAAACCAACTCCAGCGTTCGTCTTCGCCTCTTGCAGGTCGCCTGATGGTGCCAAGGTATTTTGGTAGGGTCTCTGTTGTTTTGTTACAAAATACATTTCAATCCACCCGGGCCCCGGTAAAAATGAATTTTTTGATAAATTGTTGTTGGGATATTTTGTGGTTGGGATAATAAATGTCTAGTAGACTTGATTGCGATAGTTTTGAACACTCAGTGTTGAAAATCCCAATCAAATTTGTTGAGATATATATATATTTTTTAATGTCTTAAAAAGCAGAGGCAAATGGATTTTTGAAAATGAAATGGGAGCAATTTGTGAAGGAGAAGACTCGGAAGAGACAAGAGTAGAGTCGAACCAAGTAGAGCTATAGATCGAAGGATGTCGATGTCGACCAATTTAGACCGAAAGCTTCAGTCTCTGATATCGTTTAACGTTGACAGGACGATCTTGCATCTTTTCTATCAGTCTATCATTCAAAGTGTTCTTCTATTCAATCTCATTTGTTTTTATGGAAATCTCACACAAGCAGACAAAACTAAACTCGAACGTCCTAGGAAAATTGCTCAACGTATTATCGGCATTGAATTACCACCCCTATCAGTTTTGTTTGAAGATCGCTTATTGACTAAAATAACTTCTATTATGAAAGACCCATCACATCCACTATTTTCTTGTTTTACTTTTAACCGCTCAGGAATCCGCCTGCGTGTACCAATTACCCGTAGAGCCAGATACAGAAATTCTTTTATTCCAAATTCCATGCACATCTATAATGCAAAAATAACACGAAATTCTCAGCTTTAAGCTGAATAATAGCGATTATGATTATTTGTTAACTTTTTTCTACCCACCCAGTCAATTGTAGGGATTGGGTTGGAAAGTTTTCCGCCTTATCACCTTTGTGGGGTCAAAACATCCGTTGTTTAGCTCTGCTGCTGATTTTTGTTGTATATTTATGTCATGCATTATAATCTGATTGGAAATTATGCCATCTCTCCTTCTCTGTCTCTCCCATTTTCCTTTGGACCCCTACCAACTTTCCCTATATTTCTCTCTTCTATCAGTCCTTCGAGCTTGAGCTCTCTTTTCCTTTATCTTTCTGCTCGTATTTCGATTGTGATGCTGCTCATATTCACATCTATATTCATACCTGAATTTATTCATGATGTGATTCAGAATTGTATATAAAATTCTTGCTATGTATAAGTCATATAACTATCTTGTCATGTTTTGTGCTGAAAGCCGGAGAACCGTACCTGCTCACATACTTTTTCTTATAGAGTCTTGACGCCCCTCTGGCTTTCAGCACACGACACCATGTTTTTGTCTTATGTTTTATGTATTACATGTTATACCAATGGAAAACAAATTTCTGTATTATATTATGGACAATAAAATCTTGAATGAATTGAATGAATTGAATGAATCGTCAGTTGTCCTGCTGAGATTACATAGGGAATGTTGACAAATGTCAGTTTTTATTAAAGAATGACCCATAACCAGACAGCTATTTCTGTCTATAACCTCAATATAATTATGATATGTGAAAGCTTTGTTTTAATTAAAATAAGCAAGGCATTGTAGAATAAAAACTCTATCCACAGGTGTTGTTTGACGTATATCTATGCCCCCCCCCCCCGATCTTGTCTCCCAGCCTGCGCATGATGCAGCTATAGTAGCTAAACCATTTTACTAATTGCATGCATTAAGGTAAGAGTTTCTTTTGCCAGAAGCTTAATTGCCAGACATAGCAATAGCTAATGTATTGTATGCATGTATTAAAGTGGAGTCTATAGTATTTCAATTTTTGAATGTCTCTATCCAAGCCCCTAGTTGGTAATTACCAGAGGACATTCATTGGAATACTTTAGTCAACACGTCATACCGGTAAGCCTTGGTGTGGACAGTAGATGCCCATTGAAACGCATGTTAATTCTTCACCACACTTTTCTAGTATGGGATGTCTACGCGAACTCATGGTGGTCTCGAGAAAATAGGCCAAGATCTATCGTGTTTGACAGTAGGCCTACACATGTAACTGATGAAAGGTATATTTGTTTGCCAAGTGAAAACTGATGACAGTGTCCAAGTGGAACATTGTGGATTTATGTTATCTGTAATATATTTTTTATATCACATCTCCTATTCTGTGCCAGGATTTGCAAGCTGTAGCAGCGACTCACACAAATGTCAAGGTCTTAGAATTAGGTAATTGGCGTCTTTCTTCCTTTTCCCCTCATCTCCATCATAAACATATATATATACTGGTGGTAACAAACAGTTTTCTCTAGAATTGTTTGTTGTTGAAACCTCTTCTTCTTCCCCCCCCCCCCCTCCCCTCACTCATAGCATGTGTCACAAATAGAAATTTCCTATGATAATGATAGGAAAGGAAAGAATATTAAAAGTTGATAATTAAAAGAAAATGAATTAAAACACTTGTCACAAGTTAATTTTTTGCTTTTATTATTGGTGCTTACACCCAAAATGACACAAAGTGGAAAGAAATAAATTGGAAAGGAAAGAAAGTAAAAGGGAGAGATAAAAGGTACATGTATATAAATTATATCATCATACTGTAATCAGTTTTATTTTGTTGTCATCTGGATTTATCATGTTCTGTCATCATTATCAATTTTCTTGGTTGTCACAAGTAGTAGTGAGCGGAGCCTGATTTGATTTTTATTCTCCATACAGATGTGCAAAATGAATCCACTTACGGGCCGGCAGTCGAGACTGTTTCCAATCTTGTCGGAGAGGCTGGGCTTAATGTTCTACTCAACAATGCCGGCATCTATTCTACAGAGAGCTGTGAGACAGTCGGTAGGGACCTCCTCACGAACATCTTTGACATCAATGTCATTGGTCCAATGCGCCTCACACAGGTAATTATACCATAAATAACAATAATAATTACACTTTATAGGTAAAGACCAGTTCTGGTCATGCGATCGTATTGTGAAAGAAACGTTGTGGAATCGATCAGAAAAGGTTGATCATCTAGCATATAAGTATTAGTGTGTACTGCAAGGTTCTGGAATCATCAAAACGATGAGAATTTTTGCCCAGTCTTGGTAAAGTTACAGGCACTGTACACAGAATGATGTATATGGGTATACGCGATAAATTATTATATCTATCCGAACTGGATAGATATAATAATTTACCAAATATATCAATTAGTAGGCGGTTTCCTGGCAAAATTAGTATCATCATGTATTACTCAAAACATATTCTTTCACATGATTGGTAATAAGAGCTTCCATTTCATTTTTTGAGAGGGGGACGTTGCCAAATCTGGTCTATATCGGCTTTGGCAAGACGTTAATCTACGTTTGCCACACTCATCACAGGTGAAGTAAGTGGATATACCTGGCAGGATTTATTCTGTGGATGCACTAAGCACCATGGTTGCCAAGGCTAGAGCTGGGATAATAATATCAAAATTCTGTTGAAGGCTCATAGAGATGTTATTTGCACTATACAAGAACAGAATAAATGTGTATGATCCACCTATAGAGATGCCCATGACATCTACTGCTGAGAAAGATGATGTATGTTTTCAATTATTATTATAAAGGGACAAAGCCAAACATGTGTTTTCTTGAAGGTTTATATGCTGGTGTAAATACTAATATTGAATATTACTTGTTTATTTGTTTGAAAATGTATTGCAAGTTTAAAGATTGAAATTGCCCTGTAATTATAAATGTAAAACAGCTGTGAGTTAACACTGAGTTTCTATAAGAGCCGTTTTGAGTTACTGGTAGTTTTAGCTCTCAGTCTCAAATACCTTATTTCAGTAAAACCTGTATTTAAAGATCACTCAAGGGTGACTAGAAAAGTGGTCTTAATAGGCAGGTGGTCTCTATGAACAGGTTCTTTTAGTACAGGTATCTATGAGAAATGATTGTCAAGGAAAAAAAATGAAGTCTTTATATACAGGTGGTCGCTAAAGCAGGGTTCAATGTATTATCAAAAAGACATTACTGTTTTATTAAATTAAGGTCATTTTAAGGTCATTAACTCATTCTTCTTGTTCTTCTTTTTTTGTTTCTATCATTATTATTATTATCCTCTTTTTTATTATTATTTATGATTATTATTATTGTTATTATTATTGTTATTATTACTATGTAGTAGTAGACTAGCATGTACAGTCAAACATGCTTTAGTATCCACCTGTCTCCAAAGACCACATTTTTGTTACCCTTGAAAATGGTTTCTCATTGAAACATGTACTAAAGGAACTTGTCTTCAAAGACCACTTTTTGTGTTTCCCTTGGGCGGTCGCTGTAGACAGGTTTGACTGTAGTAAAGTCAAACATGCTTTAGTATCCACCTGTCTCCAAAGACCACATTTTTGTTACCCTTGAAAATGGTTTCTCATTGAAACATGTACTATAGGGACCTGTCTCCAAAGACCACCTGCCTATAAAGACCACTTGTCTCCCTTGAGTGGTCTTTATAGACAGGTTTCACCTTATTAGTAGTACAGTAGTTGTGGGTTTAACTATAACTCTTTAACCTTGACCACTTTTCTTGTCACCCTTGAGTGGTCTTTATAGACAGGTTTCACTGTATTAGTAGTACAATAGTTGAGGGTTTAACTATCACTCTTTATCCTTGACCACTTTTCTTGTCACCCTTGAGATGTCTTTATAGACAGGTTTCACTGTATTAATAGTACTGTAGTTGAGGGTTTAACTATAACTCTTTATCCTTGATTACCTCTTATACCTAATGTCTCCAGGCTTTCCTACCACTTCTGAGACGAGGAGCGCTTCACAGCCGAGTGGAAAGTTTCGGTATGGACAGAGGAGCCGTTATCAACATCTCCACTGGGTTTGGTAGTATAGCTGCAAATCAAAGCGGTGGGCATGCTGGCTACAGAGAGAGCAAGGTGAGGAAGTCATTACTGTTATAATCAAACAAAATATTAATTTGTTCTTGAACTTGAAGTGAAATGCTGAACAAACAGTTTGGCAGCTATTGTTGATTTTTTGTTGTTGCAGTTTCTGAAAGGGAGAGGGTTGGTTTGAAGACGGTTCAAACTAAAAACCTAGGATGAAGTAAAAGTACACATAATGCTGAACAAATATGTGATGCTTTTTGTTGTAGATGTCATAATTACAGTAATAGTCTATGTCATTTGTCATCTTTTATAGGGACGTTTTATAAATACCATCAGTGTAGTCTCCATAGACCTGTATACTCTATTACAAGTGCTTACTAATTAGTTCCAAGGAACACTGAGACATCATTATGTGAGCATGTCTGTGGTAGTTTCAGATCATTTGCAATGTTTGATGTCCAAAAAACATAATGTCTGGCCAAGGGCTTTCAACTTGCCTGGACCCAAGTTAGGATTTTTTTTTTTTGTCAAATATAGAATCAAGATTATATTGGAAGTAATCCCTTGAAAGCTAGATGTAGTCCTTTATATTTTCTCTCTAAAAACAATGTATAGTCTTTATCTTTCCATTCATACCATGCATATCATTCTTGTGGTTCCTCTGTTTTTCTTACTGTCTCTTTAACTATATATAATTTCCTCTTTATCTCTCTCTCCCTTTCTTCTTCCCTGTCTCTATCATTCTTCCGCATTCCCTCTCATTCTCTCTCTATTCCTCACATACTCTTCGTCTTTCACTATCCTTCACTGTCTATGGGGAAGCGCGATAGCTCAGTCGGTATAGCAGTGGTCTCATAATCCGGTGACCCGGGTTCGAAATCAAGGCGATGCGCTAGTGCCCTTTGGTAAGGCATTAATCCTCATTACCGGGTCCCTTGGAGAGGACCTAGAGCCGTCGGTCGTCTGGTTGCTTACTTACAAGCTTTTATGCTTTCTTAGCAGTCAGGTAAAATAACCACCATTCATTCATCTAATCATGCTCTTATGTTGTCTCTCGTTATAGGCTGCTCTCAACATGTTCTCAAAAAATCTAAGCCTGGAACTGAAAGCAGACAAGATCCTGGTCCTATCGCAGTGCCCAGGCTGGGTCTCAACTAGCATGGGTGGACCAACTGCCACCAGAACACCTGAGAGTTCTGTATCTGATATGCTTCAACTATTCTCCATGCTTTCTGAGGAGCACACTGGCTGCTTTCTTGCTAATCATATCCCACTGAAATTCAATCAGTTTTAGAGGCATGACCAGCTAACTTGTTTCCACATTCTATTTTTTTTACTTTACCACAAAAGAGGGAAAATACTATTTTAACATTTTTCACACGTCTTCTATTTCACAAAATTATTGGATAGTTCATGGTGTCTGACCATGTAGACCTCAAAACGTGATGTTCTACCTTTTATATTAAAATTATGAATTTGTATCTTCTAGAAATACTCAATTCCTCTTGATAGTGTACAATGTATCATTTAAGGCAGTCTTTTTATGCCTCCGCCACCGAAGGTGGTGCCGGAGGCATCATGTTTTCGGGTTGTCCGTCCGTACGTCCGTACGTCCGTCCCGTTTGACCGTTATCACAATATCTCAAGAACCATTTAAGATTTAAACTTAAGACTCAAGAATAGTATTTATCACCATAGGAAGACGATCTGATTAGATTTTGGAGTACGTAGGTCACAGGTCACAGAGGTCAACTTATGAAATTCCTTGTATTGAGTTTGTTAGCGCGATATCTCAAGAACCATTTGAGATTTAAACTTCAAACTTAAGGATAGTATGTATAACCATAGGAAGACGATCTGATTAGATTTTAGAGCACGTATGTCAAAGGTCAAGGGTCACAGAGGTCAAACAACACCCTAGCCTTTCTTAGAAGGAACCTGCGTGTCAACTCCACTCGGCTTAAGACTACTGCATACCAGGCTCTCGTTCGCCCTCTTCTTGAGTACGGGAGTGCTGTTTGGGATCCACACACCATCAGATGTGTAAACCAGTTGGAGATGGTCCAGTTGGAGACGAGCAGCGAGATATGTTCTCAACCGCTATCATCATACATCTAGCGTCTCTGATATGCTGAGTCAACTTGGATGGACCTCCCTCCAGAAGAGAAGAGAGCATCAACGTCTCACTTTACTGTACAAGATGCACTACTCTTTGGTTGACTTTGACATCCACCACTACATCCAACCGGCAACAGTCGTAAGAACTACAAGATCGTCTCGTCCTTACTGTTATCGTGTCATGCAGTCACGAACAGAGCAACATATTCACTCCTTCTTTCCTCGCACTGTTCGACAGTGGAACGCTCTCCCTCTTGAGGTTGTCCTGGCTCCATCAGTGGAAGCCTTCCAGCGACAACTAAAGACCGGGGGGAAGTAAATTCCGGCAATGTTTTTTACTGGCACTATGTATATATACACCTCTCACCTGCACACCTGGACATCCCCATGTCGCAACACACATGCACTCGCAAGAATCTTCAGCAGTGAAGGAGGCAGATTATTTTGAAGAAGAAGAAGAAGAACTTATGAAATTCCATACATTGAGATTGTTATCATGATATCTCAAGAACCACTGGAGATGTAAAAACTTCAAACTTAAGGATAGTATGTATCACCATAGTAAGACGATCTGATTAGATTTTGGAGCACGTAGGTCAAAGGTCAAGGGTCACAGAGGTCAACTTATGAAATTCCATACATTGAGATTGTTATCATAATATCTCAAGAACCACTGGAGATTTAAACTTCAAACTTAATGATAGTGTGTATCACCATAGGAAGACAATCTGATTAGATTTTGGAGCACGTAGGTCAAAGGTCAAGGGTCACAGAGGTCAACTTATGAAATTCCATACATTGAGATCGTTATCGCGATATCTCAAGAACCACTGGAGAAATTTTAATTCGAACTTAATGATAGTATGTATCACCATATCATAATATCTCAAGAACCACTGGAGATTTAAACTTCAAACTTAATGATAGTGTGTATCACCATAGGAAGACAATCTGATTAGATTTTGGAGCACGTAGGTCAAAGGTCAGGGGTCACAGAGGTCAACTTATGAAATTCCATACATTGAGATTGTTTTCATGATATCTCAAGAACCACTGGAGATTTAAACTCCAAACTTGTTTAAATTGCTCTATGGCGGAGGCATCATTTTCGACTGCGCGCAGTCAAAATTCCATCTAGTTTTTAATTGGCTAGTTTCCTCATAATGAATGTACATACATGCGATTAGATGGATCCTGAACCCTATATCCCTTTGAAAGGGGCGTAGGGGCAAATATTGTAAAAATTTGAATTATCACAACTTTCGGGCCGAAATTGTAAGGGCCTGGGTGGTTCAGCATTTTGGAGGAAAATATTATATTTTTTGAATAGGCTAGTTTCCCCATAATGAATGTACATACATGCGATTAGATGGATCCTGAATCCTATATCCGTTTGAAAGGGGCGTAGTGGCAAATATTGAAAAATTTGAGTTATCACAACTTTCGGGCCGAAATTGTTAGGTCCGGGGTAGTTCAGCATTTTGGAGGAAAAAATTATATTTTTTGAATAGGCTAGTTTCCCCGTAATGAATGTACATACATGCGATTAGATGGATCCTGAATCCTATATCCGTTTGAAAGGGGCGTAGTGGCAAATATTGAAAAATTTGAGTTATCACAACTTTCGGGCCGAAATGGTAAGGGCCGGGGTGGTTCAGCATTTTGGAGGAAAATATTATATTTTTTTAATAGGCTAGTTTCCCCATAATGAATGTACATACATGCAGTTAGATGGATTCTAACGCCTATATCCCTTTGACAGGGGGGTAGGGGCAAATATTGTAAAAATTTGAATTATCACAACTTTTCGGGCAGAAGTTGTAAGGGTGGTTCAGCATTTTGGAGGAAATATTATTTTTTTTATTAGGCTAGTTTCCCCACATTGAATGTACATACATGCAATTAGATGGATCCTGACCCCCACATCCGTTTGAAAGGGGCGTAGTGGCAAATATTGAAAAATTTGAGTTATCACAACTTTCGGGCCGAAATGGTAAGGGCCGGGGTGGTTCAGCATTTTGGAGGAAAATATTATATTTTTTTTAATTGGCTAGTTTCCTCATAATGAATGTACATACATGCGATTAGATGGATCCTGAACCCTATATCCCTTTGAAAGGGGCGTAGTGGCAAATATTGTAAAAATTTGAATTATCACAACTTTCGGGCCGAAATTGTAAGGGCCGGGGTGGTTCAGCATTTTGGAGGAAAATATTATATTTTTTGAATGGGCTAGTTTCCCCATAATGAATGTACATACATGCGATTAGATGGATCCTAAACCCTATATCCCTTTGAAAGGGGCGTAGTGGCAAATATTGAAAAATTTGAGTTATCACAACTTTCGGGCCGAAATTGTAAGGTCCGGGGTAGTTCAGCATTTTGGAGGAAAAAATTATATTTTTTGAATAGGCTAGTTTCCCCGTAATGAATGTACATACATGCAGTTAGATGGATTCTAACGCCTATATCCCTTTGACAGGGGGGTAGGGGCAAATATTGTAAAAATTAGAATTATCACAACTTTCGGGCCGAAATGGTAAGGGTCGGGGTGGTTCAGCATTTTGGAGGAAAATATTATATTTTTTGAATAGGCTAGTTTCCCCATAATGAATGTACATACATGCAGTTAGATAGATTCTAACGCCTATATCCCTTTGACAGGGGGGTAGGGGCAAATATTGTAAAAATTAGAATTATCACAACTTTTCGGGCCGAAGTTGTAAGGGCCGGGGTGGTTCAGCATTTTGGAGGAAAATATTATATTTTTTGAATAGGCTAGTTTCCCCATAATAAATGTACATACATGCAGTTAGATGGATTCTAACGCCTATATCCCTTTGACAGGGGGGTAGGGGCAAATATTGTAAAAATTAGAATTATCACAACTTTCGGGCCGAAATGGTAAGGGCCGGGGTGGTTCAGCATTTTGGAGGAAAATATTATATTTTTTTAATAGGCTAGTTTCCCCATAATGAATGTACATACATGCAGTTAGATGGATTCTAACGCCTATATCCCTTTGACAGGGGGGTAGGGGCAAATATTGTAAAAATTAGAATTATCACAACTTTTCGGGCCGAAGTTGTAAGGGCCGGGGTGGTTCAGCATTTTGGAGGAAAATATTATATTTTTTGAATAGGCTAGTTTCCCCATAATAAATGTACATACATGCAGTTAGATGGATTCTAACGCCTATATCCCTTTGACAGGGGGGTAGGGGCAAATATTGTAAAAATTAGAATTATCACAACTTTCGGGCCGAAATGGTAAGGGCCGGGGTGGTTCAGCATTTTGGAGGAAAATATTATATTTTTTTAATAGGCTAGTTTCCCCATAATGAATGTACATACATGCAGTTAGATGGATTCTAACGCCTATATCCCTTTGACAGGGGGGTAGGGGCAAATATTGTAAAAATTTGAATTATCACAACTTTTCGGGCCGAAGTTGTAAGGGTGGTTCAGCATTTTGGAGGAAATATTATTTTTTTTATTAGGCTAGTTTCCCCACATTGAATGTACATACATGCAATTAGATGGATCCTGACCCCCACATCCGTTTGAAAGGGGCGTAGTGGCAAATATTGAAAAATTTGAGTTATCACAACTTTCGGGCCGAAATGGTAAGGGCCGGGGTGGTTCAGCATTTTGGAGGAAAATATTATATTTTTTTTAATTGGCTAGTTTCCTCATAATGAATGTACATACATGCGATTAGATGGATCCTGAACCCTATATCCCTTTGAAAGGGGCGTAGTGGCAAATATTGTAAAAATTTGAATTATCACAACTTTCGGGCCGAAATTGTAAGGGCCGGGGTGGTTCAGCATTTTGGAGGAAAATATTATATTTTTTGAATAGGCTAGTTTCCCCATAATGAATGTACATACATGCGATTAGATGGATCCTAAACCCTATATCCCTTTGAAAGGGGCGTAGTGGCAAATATTGAAAAATTTGAGTTATCACAACTTTCGGGCCGAAATTGTAAGGTCCGGGGTAGTTCAGCATTTTGGAGGAAAAAATTATATTTTTTGAATAGGCTAGTTTCCCCGTAATGAATGTACATACATGCAGTTAGATGGATTCTAACGCCTATATCCCTTTGACAGGGGGGTAGGGGCAAATATTGTAAAAATTAGAATTATCACAACTTTCGGGCCGAAATGGTAAGGGTCGGGGTGGTTCAGCATTTTGGAGGAAAATATTAAATTTTTTGAATAGGCTAGTTTCCCCATAATGAATGTACATACATGCAGTTAGATAGATTCTAACGCCTATATCCCTTTGACAGGGGGGTAGGGGCAAATATTGTAAAAATTAGAATTATCACAACTTTTCGGGCCGAAGTTGTAAGGGCCGGGGTGGTTCAGCATTTTGGAGGAAAATATTATATTTTTTGAATAGGC